TCGCCTAGTTACTGCCTATTGGAACCCTGTTAAAATGTACGTATTGGAACAATAACGCATCACAATGTTATGATAAGGACGCGGTGGTATAATCCAGGGAACAACAATAACACGAACAACAACAACCAACAACGCACAACAAGCCAACCAACAACAACAAATAAATCAAACAACAAACAACAACAAAACACACAGACAATAAATCAACAGACAAAGCAACTAACAACACACCACAAGGACCACATACCACACAACGAAACAATAAACAACTAGCAACAACAACACACAACCATATAAACAACAACAACATACAACAACGCCAACAACAACAGTAATGTGATCAAAGTGAAAACAGACAAATTAGTGTTTGTGTCCGGGGTGACGTGCGCGCGTATTAATTATCTATTATAAGTGCGTGAGGCTACATGAATGGGAAGGAAGTGAGTATGACACTGCTTGTTGATACGTCCAGTGTCGCGCTTTTTGCCATCACCGCGGTTTGCTTGGCTGACACTGTTGAATTCATCCTATGTCATGCATGTGGTCAAATATATGTCAGACTTTCGCAGATGTTGTGTGTCTCGCTCGTCCGGGTATGTGCTTGTCCTCTTGTTGTGTGATTCGATTGGATGACACTCTGTCAGTCTCTCAGTTTACCTGAAAAGTCTGTGTAGTGTGGTCTTCAAGAACAGTTCTTTGAATATGACACGGTTCTCACACAGTTTTCCCAAACGTTGCATCTTATCAACCAATGTTTAGTTATCAGATTAGTGTTCTATTGGTCTCTTGACGGGACGCCTGGGGCTGTCGGAGTATTAGGCATCGAATATTTAGTTCGTGTGTAATTGCGGTATTCCAGCCGCTGCTAAGAAATAAAATTTGTTGCTCACGGCGATCTACAGCTGATTTTTGCTGCTGTTGCCATCGTGTTCTTGGATCAATAAGGAAGCGAAAACAAGTGCTGTTACCTATGCCTTACGCTAATATATCCAACAGCCCCAAGCGTCCCGTAGTTTACAACCTGGCTGCTGCCGCTCGCAATGATTCAACATTGGCCGATAAGGCATGCAAACGTTTGGGAAAACGTGTGTGAAACTGTGTCGTAATCTCAAAGAACTTTTTGAATGAAACATTAACGATTTTCAGCGTATAAACTGGGTTCGGTGTCACTCAATGATAGGCAGCAGAATCCGAGACAAAAACCAGCGTAAGTTTTTAATTATTTATATCACATATTGATAGAATAAATTCAATTGAAAACTTACCCCGTAAAGCCGCTGTTAAAACAAGTGTCATACTCCTATCCCCCATTTGCTACTCTGATAATCATCCATCACCATTGGATATTTGGCAACCAATAACAGTTTTTGCTTAACTGTGGATGAACGACTGGCAGGAAAGATACGTGATTTGGGCTTACCGCTCATTGTTGCATTTGAGTTGTGATTGCGGCGGAGAACGGGTAGAAAGCACCAAGCTGGCATCAGGCGGGCTGGCCCACAACTGTTCAGGTTTGTTGATTGTGATTTAAAGTGACATGGATGTGGTAGCAGTGTTTTTGCTTCCCTATCAGCGGCACACCATAACGTCGAGAAAGACCTTAGTGGAGGCCGGAAATAAGGAGGGGAAAGTACTTGGGTTAGTTTGCTCCCCGCGGGTTTTTAGGCGGTCCCACCCGTCTTGTTTAAACATTAACCACCAGGTACATCATACTTTCTGAACACGTGAAATTTCTTAGTGATGCGTGTTTTCTACGCATCCCGTGTGATACCGGTAGCTCGCAGCGCTCCCTCCAGGGTCACGCATTCGGGTCTATACTTTTCTTATTGGTAACCTGATCTGTATAGTGTTTGTTTTGTCGAGTAATGCAAAACCAATAAACAATAAGGTTTTTTACGTAATATACTGACCTTTAGCGTATCTTTTAGTTCAACAAAATGTGTTTTTGTGAACCTTTTGAGCAGCAATAGTAAATCCAGTGAAAAATCAACGCATTTGAAAGGCGGCGTGCCTAATTGTAAGGTAGATTTGGGAATCTGTTTGCTGAGCTTTGTAAATGGCATGACGACGCCGTAGCCACTGGCCGTTTCTCATAACGGTATTAACAAGCTAGGGTGCACGTACGTTTATGCTAGCTCAGCGTTTCAAGCTTACATCAGTTCACGATTCGCCAGCATACATTTCAACTGCCAACATTTATAGCTCAGTGACCTGATTCCCACATGGTAATAATAGCTGGAGTGACATAAATATAGATTATATATAATATATATCTAAATGTATATTTTAATTAAATATGTACTATTATTACTGTATATATATATATATAATATACTATATAGTATACATATCCAAGGGGGCAGTGCCAGACAACATTCGCTAGAAGTGATTGAGCTTACGAATATCTATTAGTCCGGAGTCGTTAGATCATTTCCGCCCTATTAGTATTAATCATCGATCGCCGCGCTGCGATTTCCTGCCACTGCCACTCAGCGGTCGGAGGCTGACCTGTTGATCGAGTTTAGTACATGTGTTTCCACACGCTCTGCATTGTCTCCGAGCCGAGTGGGCCGCCATATTGCCCGCCACTGGGGGAACGTCGAGCGGGAGGATGCAATGGCAGAGGTTCGTTTTACCCCTCACGCTCACGAGAGGCCTCTGCCATCGAAGGATGCCCTCGGTGCTGTTACCGCATGCTCGGCTCTCGCGTCACGCGCAGGACAGATATCTAATGGAGAGATTTCACTCGGATTGTGTCGGTTATACGCATTAACGTTATGGTCACGATGTGCGAGGGTTAGGGTTAGTTGGGTGTGTTTGTGTTCTGTAGGGTTAGGTTAGGTTTGGGTGGGGGGAGGAGGGTAGACATACCTATCTACGGTGGTGAGTGCAGGCTCCTGCGTGGGAAGGATCCGACCCTCTCTCACGTGAAGGTAACAATATCACCGCCCCTCCTCACCCACCCATCCAGCTGGTCACGTGGCGGCAGGGGGAGGGGGAGGGGGAGGAGGGTAGACATACCTATCTACGGTGGTGAGTGCAGGCTCCTGCGTGGGAAGGATCCGACCCTCTCTCACGTGAAGATTGATCGTGTCCATCGGTGCGTCCAAGGTCACGTAGCGACCACTAGATGGCAGCACGCGGCCCGTGTAGAAGTCGTACCAGGTCGCGCGCGGCAAGTACGCCAACACACTCGTCGTATTCTGCAACAATGCGACGCGAGGAAATGATGGGGGGGAGGGGTGAGTTGATCGTAGTTAGTGATGGTCTTAAAAGGTAACGCGTAAGCAAAATGTTTTCCGCAATAGCTAGCGACCAACGATGAGGTACTTTGGTCTTAGTTAGTAACGGTTTTAAACAAAATTCTTGTTATGTAGTCTTGTTAAAGTAACTGTATACGCCATATTTTTCGCGTACATATATTTTTGCGAATTCAGACTTGACGGACAATTTCGCGAGTGGTTAATTTCGCGGTCAGTGAATTATGAATTATTCGGTATTATTCGGTATGAATTATTCGCGTGTTGTTATTTTCGTGTCAGGGGACACGTTCGCAAAATTCGTGAAAAGTAAACCACCGCGAAATATACAGCTTATACAGTAAAAGAAACTAACTGTTAACACCCCGGGGGTCCGTTGTCAGAAAGAAAATTAGTCTGAATGAACTCTTTCTCGTAAACTGGACCTCTGTACAGTGCGTATTAGAAACCAACCATGCATATGTATCTGCCTATAAACATGACGGTCAATGAGAAAAAAGTTAATGTTAAAACTAATGTTAAAACTAATTTTGTTTCTGACAGCGAGTCCCAGAGTTTTCTGATCGCATGCTGCCAGTGTCTCTATTCGGTCCCAACAGTGTCTTTGTGCATGCAACATCTGGAGCCTGTTGTCAGGAACAAAATTAGTCTTAACGTTAGTCTTAACATTGACCTTTTTCTCATAGACTGCTGACAGAAACATGGTAAAGTCACAAGTTGCTCATACACACTGCATAGAGGTCCAGTCTATGAGAAAAAGCTCACTTTAAGAATAATGTTATCAGGCGTGAATAATATAGAATCTATCCCGACGTTATGATTAATAATGGTTCAAGGATAGAGATGATGTCCAGGACAGTGATTGGATAGGATGATCTTTATTACTGGACATGCTCTCTATCCTTGAGCCGATAAAATTACGCCCTTGAATTCTACACAGTCTGAGAAACAGTACTTACCTCCGTGAGAACAGGTGAGATGAGTAGAGCATCTCCCCACAAGAACTGTCTGTCTATGTCATACGTCTGCTTATCCTTGGGGAACCTAACCAGTAAACGTGGATAACAACATTACAACGGCACGACGCATTACTTACATCAAAAATACTCGAGTTTATTTCTTACGAAAGGAGAAGACGTTACGAGCGAAATGTTTGAGGAGATCTTTGTGGATTTTGGGAACTAAGAAAAAGAAGATTACTAGTTAGATATATATGTTATTATTATTGTTCTTGTTGTTGCTGCTGTTGTTTTTGTTGTTATTGTTATTATGATGATTATGATTATGATGATGATGATGATGATGA